TGGCAATGAAGGATTTGAGGCCTTCATCTTGAGTAAGCAACATGGGCAGCCCATATTTCATCACCTTTACAAAGCTTTCTTCAGGATACACTCCCCGATTGTACAGAATACTAAAAGAAAAAAAACCCATGTATCCAACCACAATTAATTTCAAGATCCAAGAAGTAAATCGCCAAAAGGGGAAAAACCCCAAAAGATAACATAAAGAACAAGAACAAAGATCAAGATCCGGCGTGATCATTACCTGTTCGCTGAATATCCTGAAAGAGGAATTGCAAAGAAATACGAAATACAGAGATCAGCGAAAGATTTCTTAGAAACCGAACAAAGCCCAACAAAGACAAATGACAATAAAATCCAATAGAAAATAAAATTACCGAAGAACTCGCTGACGATAGCCGCGGAACCACGCAGAGTGATAATGTCTTTGGTCGCAGTTCTTGAAGCCATCACTATGCACGTCCAAGCCCAGTAAGGATTCTATCCAATTCCAATAGACAAGAAAGAAAAATTCGAACTTTCCGATCGAAAAGGGGTTTTTACGTTTCGTCGGATGAGGAGGCTGAAGAAATAGATTTAGGGATTGAGAAAATCAACGAAAGTAGTGCAATTGCAACGGCTAGTTTTTAAAAAATTTGGGCTCTGTCAGTCGGGCCAACGCAACGGTAACTTCTTTAAATTTGCTGCCACGTAGCAAGGCTGAGAAGGGATCATGCGTTGTCCGGTGAAAAGGAATACGACATGTAGCGTTTGGTCAGATTAGACGAATACGACATCAAATAAATGGAGCCCGTGCTTGTTTTTCTTTGTTTTATTTAAATTTTCCTTATACGACATCAAATAAATGGAAAAAGTTTGCTAGTGAACTTGAGTTTAGGTCACATGTGGGCTAAATGTATTAGGTCTAGAATACAAAAGCAGTGGGAGGGAGATGCCAATTGCTCAGTCTCCCTTGCAGAGCAAGGGACATGAAGGTCTGCTTCGACCTCGTTTTGTTTCGATCCTGATTCTATTTTTTATTTTCTTTTTTACTGGTGAGGAAAAGCAAATGCTCTTTCTTTTCTTCTTTCGATGGGGAATTTTCAAAAATAAAAAAGGGTAAACACAACTCTACTTGTTCTTTTTTTAATGGGAGATTCACTATTTTACCCAATATAGGAGCCCAAATTATAAAAATACCATATATGAAATGGACTTTAGAAACATACCCAAAGTCCATTTACAAAATAACAAAAAGGCTTTTAACTTCTTTTAAATTGCAAAATTGCCATTGATGTCTTAAAACAAACCCAACCCCAAAACATATAAAAATGCCCAAAACACTCAATAGGGCATCAAAGTAATTTAATAATCAAAATTAAATTCAATAGGGTCAATTGTCATTTTTTGGGTTTTTTTTGGGTTTGTTTATAGAAATTAA